ACAACCAATGGTATTTGTCAATGTTGAAACACAAATCCCCGGCAACGGCGCCAAAAGCTTGTTGTCAAATTTAGCAAGTGCACTAGTCAAACAAGTAATAAAATGATAAGTAAAGATCGTTCCCACGAGGATTTGTGTCAAGCACTAACTAACCAAATGTTACTAAGTTGAATCAACCGAAAAATTCTGAATTGCATTGATTTCTTGTCACTCGAAATTGAAATTGCATAAAATTAAAGAATTGATTGTGAGGTAGTTCAATTTTCCAACCAATCTTCTATACTGCTCAGGATCTGAAAAGGGCTCCCCCTGATTTGGTAGAAGCTTGATACTTGGATCCATAGGAGTATCAACGGACTTCGAATTTAACAAAGCAGTTTCTTCAAGAATATCCAGAGCATATTTCCTCTAAGATATCACAACACTAGCTTTAGATTGGGCCACCTCGATTCTTAAGAAGTATCGAAGTTTCCCAAGATCCTTAGTCTGAAAATGATGACATAAGTGTTGTTTCAATCGAGTGATCACATGCTGATCACTGCCTGTGATGAAAATATCATCCACATATACCACCAGATAAATAGATTCAGAAGCAGAATGACGATAAAAGAGAGAATGATCAGCTGCACTCCGAGTCATGCCAAATTGTTGAACAACACTGCTAAATTTACCAAACCAAGCTCTTGGAGATTGTTTGAGGCCATAGAGAGACTTATGAAGACGACAAACAAGACCTGACTCCCCCTGAGCAACAAATCCAGGAGGTTGCTCCATATAAATTTCTTCATCAAGATCACCATGAAGAAAAGCATTCTTGATATCCAGTTGGTAGAGAGGCCAATGGCTAATAGCAGCCATGACAATAAAAAGACAAACAGTAGACATTTTCGCCACAGGAGAAAAAATATCATAAAATCCAAGCCAAAGACCTGAGTGAAACCCTTCGCCACCAAGCGAGCTTTAAGACGATCCACTTGACCATCAAGTCCAACCTTAATAGTATAAATGCATCTGCAACCAACCACAGATTTTCCAGAAGGAAGAGGCACCAGGTCCCATGTGCCATTATGATTAAGAGCACCCATTTCATCAATCATAGCTTGTCTCCATCCCGAATGTGAAAGTTCATCACCTGTGGTCTTAGGAACAGATACAGAGGACAAAGAGGAAAGGCAAGCAAAATATGATGGAGAAAGACGATGATAACTAATATTGACTGTATACCTGGCTGGAGGGCGAGTATCACAAGTACCTTTACGAAGAGCAATGGAAAGGTCACTATCTGAAGGTGGGATCGAAGCCGTGGGAGGAGATGCAGTTGAATATGAGTCCACAGATACATCTGACGAACTATGCTCGATCTCATCAGCAGAAGAGGTGATAGAAGGAGAGTCAGAAACATGGACGGGTAAAGACAGAAGGTAAAGAAGGTCACCTGGGAAGGACGATAGTACAGAATCAGTATCCACAGGAGTAGTAGAAGATCCAAAAAAGGAAACTGATTCAAAAAAGGAGACATCTGCAAGATAAAGTATCGACATAAAGTGGGAGAGTGGCAACGGTAACCCTTCTGAGACCGAGGATAACCCAGAAAAACACATTTATGACACTTGGGAGCTAATTTATCCAAACCTGGACCAAGATGATGAACAAAACACGTAGAACCAAACACATGTGGAGTTAAAGGATATAAAGCTTGATGGGGAAATAAAATAGAGTGAGGTACCTTATGATTGAGAACAAATGATGGCATGCGATTAATGAGATAGCATGCAGTAAGTATAGCATCACCCCAGAATGTGTATGGAACATTACCATCAATTAACAAGGCACGAGTGGTTTCTACCAGATGGCGATTCTTGCGCTCGGCTACACCATTTTGTTGAGGTGTATGAGGGAAAGATGTTTGATGAAGAATGCCATGAGATGAAAACAATTGTTGAAATTGATGAGATAAGTACTTACATGCATTATCACTACGAAAAGTACGAATAGGAATACCAAATTGAGTTTTTATTTCATTATAAAATAACTGAAAAATAGAAAACAACTCAGACCGCTTTTTCATTAAAAATAACCAAGTACATCTGGAATAATCATCGATAAAAGTAACAAAGTACTTAAAACCCAAAGTAGAAGAATGACGACTTGGTCCCCAAACATCAGAGTGGACCACAGAAAAAGGAGAAACAGCTTGACGACTAAGACGACTCGGAAACATACTACGAGTATGTTTCCCAAACTGACAAGACTCACAATTTAAAGTAGAAAGAGATGATAAATGGGGAACCATCTTCTGAAGCTTTGCAAGACTAGGATGGCCCAGACGAGCATGGATAGTAAGAGGAGAATCCACAGTGGAGTAGGCTGAAGAAGAGGAAACTAGTTGATAGAGGCCCTGAGACTCACATCCTTTGGTAATCTCCTTCCCCGAACTCCGATCCTGAAAGATGACAGAGGTTTTAGTAAAAGAAACAACACAGTCAATGGATTTGGTCAACCGACTAACATAAAGTAAGTTAAAAGGAAGATCGGGAACATATAGAACATGATCCAGAGATAAATTAGGTAAAAGAAGAACCGTGTCAATCCCCCTTGATTGGACCAGAGACCCATTGGCCATAGTAATAGTGGGAAAATAACCAGTAGTACAAAGGGAAGTGAATAAGGACTTATTACCAGAAATGTGATCAGAAGCCCCAGAATCTAGAGTCCAAGGGCCAATAGAGTGCAACTGAGATATGCCAGCAAAAGAATTACCAGAATTACCAGTGGGAGCAATGGATGCAGTAGAACCTGATGTTTGCTTCTCAGACCACCAAGTCACAAATGCTTTTGCCTGACTCCAAATAGGTTCACAAGTAACAGCAGGTCGAAAAATCTGCTTGATAGACGGATGAAGAGTAGCTTTAATGAGACTACACAACTGAGCATCAATCATCTTCCACTGTGTGCGCTCCTTTTCCGCCACAGATTCAGCCTTAGTGGTGAGATGGGATGTATAATTCTGCCCATCCAACCAAAGTCGCAGATCGGAAGACCAAGTGTCATAGTTGGACCCATCCAATTTATCCACACTCAACGGAGCAAGGATATAATTGGAAAAAATAGTAGACTCCGACTTTTGTCCAGCCGGAGTCCCAGAACTAGGAACATTGGAGATAGGAGGGTCCATAATCAAAAAGAAATCAGAAAGAACAGATCACAGAACTAACCGGTAGAAGAGGGATCTGTGCGTCAACGTAAAAAGATGCCAAAACAGAAAAACAAGACCGGATCCAGAATCGTCTCAGCAAGACGAAAAAATCGCAACCAGCCGCGGCCGGAACGGAGGCTGCACGCGCCGCCTGTTGGAGGAGGGTGCTGAAACGTGCACGCGCGCGTGAGAGCGCGTGGGTGGTCTTCTGAGGGAGCGGCCGGTGCCGGTGTGATCGCATTGTCAAGAAAATCACAGCGGTAAGCTGCGTGCCTGAAAATTCCACTGGACGGTGGTGGTTGACAGTACAGAAGCGTGAAGCGAAAGAAAATCGTTCGGAAATTGACAACGAGACAGTTCCGGAAAAAAAAATTGTAAAATACGATGAACAGTGGGTTCATCGGAAAAAAAATTCAAACGTTCCTTAGGCTCTTGATACCATGTTAAATAACAAGAGAGATGAGAGAGAAGAGAGGAACATTTGAAATAATACTATGTGTATTGACTGATGAAGGCTGTACAATATATAAACAGACTAATGGGCTAAGCCCAAACCTAATGTTATCTGACCTAATACAAAATAAGGAAACCCTAATTACAAAATAAGGAAACCCTAATTACAATATATTTCTAACACAACCAAAGCTCTGATACCATGTAAAGAACCAATTCAACCCAAAAGCTTAAGTTGTTGGGTGAGGCTACGTTAATGATTTTTATATATCTCAACAAAGGGTTAAATCTCATAAGTATGTCTCTTATAATCTTAATTTTTATAGCAGTTAAAGAAATATAAAATTATTAAAGTGGTCTTACCTAATAATTAAAGTTTTTGGGTTGAATTACATCTTTATGCGGTATTAAAGCATTTGTCATCATAGGGCACAAATTTGATTCTTACTATCCCATTCTATTAATAATTAATTGAAGATTCATAAAAAAATTTAGCACAAATAAATGGATCTTTATTTTTTAACCCAAGGACATATTAAAAAAATATAAAATTATTAATATTGTCTCACCTGATAAGTTTTAGTTTACAAATCCAATAAAAATCTTGATCCACCCGGATCAAATGCAAGGTGATTTTTTAGTTGCTTTCACCTAGTCAAATAAACGAGTCATGAGAAATTGGCATATAAAATAATCGAGTAGATTTAGTAGTCCCTCCGGAGTAGATTTAGTAGTCCCTCCAAAAGCATATAATCTAAGTAAGTACATGATACACCTTGAGAGAAGCTCAAATGGGAGAGTCCAAAATTTATATAAACTCAAAATCAAAATCTTATTTTTTCGATGTAGGACTCTTAAGTCTGTTACCTTCCAACTGGATCGTACCAGTATCACTAAAAGATGTTGTGAGATCATTATTTGATCAAAGTCTTTACAAAACCTTTTACTAGGGTGTTACAATCTTGTTGTAGTTAATGGTCAATGTGTGAGTAAAATAACATTCTTTTTTAGTAGGTAAAAGTTTAGTTTAGGAGAAGGCATACCCCCTTGCATGAGTAGAGAACATCATCATTCTCAATGAGAATTTATGGTGGGATTATATACCCCCTATCAAAAGGGAACTGAGAATCAAATCCAAACTACAGCTACCATATGGGCCGAATGTTTGATCAAATGAAACAATTGAGAAGAATTTTGGTGCTCCTGACATACCATTAACTCAATGATCTGGACCAATCCAAATCAGACAATAATTGAAAAAAGAGAAGAAAGAAAAATTATTTTTTTATTCAAGTGTCAACCCTTTAATAAAAAGAGCACATAAGCTCCCGAGCACTAAAGATTTTTCCGTGACAGCCCTTGTTGGTATAAAATAGCATTCATAGGTTTCTGTTTGTTTAATGATAAACAAGAAGATACAAATAGGGAATATAATATACACTTCTTGATCCAACGTAAAAAGACAAACGGGAAAAGTAAAAATTGAAAACAAAAGAACAAGTTTAAAAGGGTTGCATTCATATTCATTACGTATAAAATTTGTCATCAAAAGCCATGAACTTTAAACAGTTATCTTTGCATTATGTCACTAGCATCCTTCTTGATAGTAAAATCCCATAGGTCCCCATATTTCTCATTGAAATCCCATATGCTCATGGTATTATATTCATTTATCAACTTGTCTCGAGCTCCCCTTTCCATATTGTATATCTGAGGTTCAAAGTGGTGAGGTTTATCAGGTTTATCCATCTCAATAATGCAAAATACAATTGTGAATATGCCTGCTCCAATGTATAAGTACTCCCCCTGAAAGAAAGATAGTAATTAGGATTACTTGTTCCTCATTCTTCATTTTTTTTATATCCAAGCAAAGTAGCCAATTGATTTGAAGATTGAGTCCTTCTTCATTAATATCGATTAACATTTAGAATTACCGGAACATGGAAGAACACCCCAGCAGCAATGGCTGGTGGGAAGAGCAATGAAATAAGCCCTGCATAAGAATCAAAATAAGAAGTAAATGATAATCAAAATTGAAAATTATAATAAGAGTTAGTAAATGATAAAAGGTGTATGGAAAGCACACCCTGGAATCCTGTGGGGGGTTCTGTTGCTGCTATATCTTCCGCAATCAAACCCCAAAATGATCCTGAAATCAATATTCATTATGCACTTTGTCAGGTTACAGGTGCACTTAAAATCAAGAACTTTTTTCTTAGCAACAGAAGATTTAGATTCTGTTTGTTTTGAATTGACAATTGTCATGTGATATATAAAATCATTAATGTGACATTCACCTCACCGTTTAAGTTTTTCAGTTAAAATTAGTTTTTTTACATGATATCATAATCTTCGTGACCAAATGATCATAATTTCAATTTTTACTGTCCGCGTTCAATTAATAAATAATTAAATACTATAGAATTTTTTAGCATAAGTAAGTGGTGTATGTGTATTTTCCAGCTTTCAAGTCCAAATTGACTAATATGTGAAAAGATACGTTTGACAAATATAATATAAAATCATTAATATGATCTTCATCTATCAACTCAAATTTGTAAGTTGAAATAGTTCTTTACACGAAACAAATTTTATTGCCAAAAGAAGCAAATACCTAGTAATAATCTCCAAAAATTGAAAAGAAGAAGAAGAAAAAGCACTACATAATACATATATCAATAATGTTTATCAATTCTGATGTTAAAATCAATCATGGGAAAGCCATCACCCTCCTTATAATTCTGAAATTGAAAGAGTAAGCATGAGTGAACAAACAAGTACCTTTCGGTTCTTCTCCTTCATAGAAAGTGTGGTGGCCATCATATATTCCATACTCGAAATCTTCCTGAAATTTGCACAAAAGAAACGAAACCCATCACAAACATAATGATAAAAAAGAGAAAGGGATAGAGAAACAAATTAAAGTGTAACTAAATACAGGGGCAACGCCATTAGTGGCAAATTGATCTCTGGGATCTTCATTGAGGTCAGGCTCAATCTCATTGAAACCAGCGTTCAACAAAAACCTTGTTGAGCTGATATTCTTGGTTAAGATGCCATTCAAGTTGGGTGGTATTGAAGATGATAAGAATTTGGAAGCAAGTTTGGGTTGAGAAGTGATTGGAGGGAAAAGTGAGAGTGAGGAACAAAGCGCCATGTGTGGTTTGGTTGGTTCTGTATCTGATGACATTATCTGTTTTCTCCTTATTTTATAACACACAGTCCACACAAGAAATTTTACAGCTTTTGTTGTTCACTAAATTATCAACTTGTTATTAATGAAATTATTTCATCATGTGCAAAAAAAAAAACTGAATTGAATTGCGATTTACCTATTTTAACTTTAGAATTTTGATAAATTAAGTTTTAACTTTTGTAATTTATCTACTTGAATTTTGAGCATTTTGTGATTCAGAATGTTTTTACTAAATTATTACTATTTATGACTTTAAATCTTAGTGCAAAGAAGTATTTAGCTAAGAAAAAAAAATAAACATAATCACATGTTTGTTGTTAAACATAACAATGGGTTCGTTTTTACTGCGGTGAATGCAGATAAGTTATTTGCATTGAGCTTAAAATGATATTGTTTTGGGACGAAAATTGTAAGAGCTGCAAGTCTAATATGTTCCCTCTGAGGGGATGAATGTCTCTATATGGGTGTTGCCACTAATAGAGATAAAGACCAAGTTAAACGACGACGTCCCCAGTACAAGGTCAGGATCTGCAAGGAGGGGGGTGTGTGTGTGATAACAAGGGCTTGAAGGAATGACAGAGTAACGGTACATGAGCAACGATCACCTTGCTTGGTGATGAAAAGGTATTTACAGGGGGGAAGATGCCTTACTCGCATGGGAGGGCGAGCCGGGTCAACTCTCCTTGGGGAGAGTGATGGGCACCTGTCATTGATGATGTGGCAGCAACGTAGCCCCTGCTGTGCTAGTGGCAGTCGCTGCTACTGTAACTGTGGGAGGGAAACACATATATAGGGGGTCTGGAGAGGCTACCTGGGAAAGGTAATTCCCGAGATAAGACATTTTGGTGTCTCTCTTCGGGTTTTTTTTAATATGATCCCGAACCATGATAAATTTGGTGGTCCTTTACCAAAAAAGGAAATATTTTCTTCCATTTATACCCCTGTTTTCCTTTTAAATTTCCTTCCAATCCTTTTTTCCTCCTATTTTTAGAAAAGGAGCACAAGCTCTCGGTCCACCGAAAACAAGCTCCTCCCCTCGAGAACATCGTCCTATGGGGACAGAAAGGGTGGAGGGTTGGTAAGCCCTAGCCAGTAAGGCTGACCTGGATGAGTGGGAGGGATATGAGCCTGTCTTAATGGGCTGATCGGTTGGGGCAATCCAGAACATAAATCAATGTATTTTTATAATTATAATTTATTTCAAGGTTATAATATTTTTTATCATTATAATTTTTTAATCTTTCAAACCAAAACAATGTCTTTTTGAGAGTAAATATAGATAACTTATCCGTGTTTTATTAAAGCCAAAAACAATTGATAGAAATAGTGACTTGCTAAATGCTTAACATTCAAGTGAGTAATTTGTTAAGATTAGAACTTAAGAGACGATTCGTTTAATATCTAAAGTTAAAATTGCGTAATTTGTAATTGGGTTTAATGTTTGCCTTGCAGAACATAGATAATTTTATTATTGCACTCACAAAAAAGTGAGTGGAGTTTATGAGAAATAGAAGGAGAATGAGAGAAAAGCAGGTCCATCCACTCTCATATGGATGCAATAGGTAAAATTATTTTGATCTTGTATAAGAAACATTAAACCCTTTGTAATTACATAAAAATTTAAATCTGAATGTTGAAAAGGAAAATAATTTATGAACTCATATGGTTATGGACTAATCTCATCTCCTAAAATAATAATTCTAACACTAATACACAGCACGACAACCCGGTTTTCGATAAGCCATTACTGAGATTCATTACGGTTTGCTGCGTTAACAATAACTATACATAACCTCTCATATGCACAGGCAAAGAATTCAATATCTTATACCCAAATTACATACTCTATAAGCATATCCCTAAACAAAATAGAGGGTGGACAAGAAAATAAGGTATTTATAGGGTTTAATAATATGAACAATAGGGGATGTTATTATTAAAATTAGTCATGAATATTTTAATCTAAAATAAATATGCCTGACCATCGTTTCGATCATATAAAAGGTATTTTTTTCATAAACTAAAAAAAGTTAGGTGTTGAGGACCCGCCAAAACGGGGCGGGTTGGGTTGAGATTTTCAACCCACCAACCCACCTCAACCCGCCCCGCCTAGAAGTGGGTCAAAACGGGTTCAACCCGCCGCGGGGCGGGTTGACCCGCCGGGTTTTAAATTCTTTTATTATTTTTTTTATTTTTTTACAATTAGATAGTATTTCATTAGTACTTAAATTTTTGTGATATTCAATTTTTTTTTATCTTAGTACTTTCTAAAAAAATAAAGAATAACAATTTTATTTATGACAAATGTTATCTATTTATAAATTCCTAAAGAATGTTCGATAAATATTAGTATACATTTAAGATTGAGACTAAAAAAAAATATAGAGAAGTGTGAAATAAAATAAAATAGTATTAAAAAAATTCATAAAACATAATTTATTTTTGAATTTTAATTAAATTTTTTTAATTGGCGGGTTGGTGGGTTGACCCGCCAACCCGCCAACCCTCCATAAAACAGGGTGGGTTCATTTTTACAACCCATATTTTTTGGCGGGTCAACCCGCCCCGCCCCGTTTTTGGCGGGTTGGTGGCGGGGCAGGGCGGGTCGGGGCGGGTCAACCCAAATTGCCACCCCTAGTTGAGGTGCTCAATCATGTTCATGTTGTCCTTGTATTCCAACTTCACAAGTCAGCGAATCAAGTGTGTTTTGTTTCTGAGAGTCTTCTTTTGAATCACAGACTCCAGTTTCGTCCATAACTCGTACGCATTCGTGAATTCAGACACTTGCTCAAAGAGACTTTTGTCAATATATTTCTTGATCATGGCCACCACTTTTTGATTCAGGATTTTCCACTCCTTCTCGATTTTGCCTTCAGGCATCTCTTTATGAACTATGGCTCATACATGTCTTTGCAGTACAATGGTCTTCCATCATAGGTCTCACTATGTAAAGTTGTCTGTCGTCATCTTGAATATGTCTCCGTCATGAGCAACGCCACTAGTCTCCATCTTGTCTCCTTTAGAACCCTTCAAACCCGGACTCTGATACCATTGTTGGGACAAGTCGGTCCCTCAAAATTGATGAGCAAGCAATTGGATCTTGGGTCAATACGTTGAGTTAAGAGCTCAGCTTTACGAGGTCAGCCTTAAGCCACCAGGTCGGTCTTGCGCAACATAAAATGAAAAATGTGCGGAGGAGAGAGACAAAGAAGAACACAATTAATTTTAACGTGAAAAAACTCCTTCAATGTGAAGAAGTAAAAATCATGGGACACTAGTCCATAAAATCATTTACTATGAATAAGAAAGATTACAAAGAGTCAAGTTTCCCTAATCTTTCACTAGAGGTACAATCAAGCATCACCAACAATGGTGGTATTCCCAAACTTCTTTCTAGAGATATTCAAATTCTTTCAGCTAACCAATTATAAAAGGTTTTCAAGTATTTATATAAAGGTGAAGGAAACCCTCCACCTTCTTCGAGAATGTTCTTCAATGATGAGGTGATTGAGATGGTTGGGCTGTCTAGAGCCTTGGACCCAATAAATGAGAGTGCATATCAGTATTAATGGAGGAACATCACCCAACAATATTAACCATAGCTTAAGGAGAGTCATTGTGAGTGCAAGCTCATGCTACGAGAGAGAAAAGAACTATAACATTTTGCCCTTATCCTCACTATGTACATGAAGATGAAATGTGGGTGTAGTGAGCAACGCAGAAGAGTAGTGCCATGAGGTCCAAATAGAGCCTCTTTGACATATCTTTTTTTAAGTTAAAAGTTACTTTTAAATTAAAGTTAAGAAAAAAGTTTTAAAAAAAAAGTTAAAAAATATTTGGTGATTATATAAAATTGTTCTGGTGATTTTGAAAGAAAAAAAAAAGATAAAATGATTTTTAATTAGGATGAATTAATAGGGTAAAGAATAAAATTTATGAATATAATTTTAGAACAAGGGTAAACCTGTAAAATGAATATGAGGACTCTAATAAGCTAACATAAATCTTTTTTTTTTTTTTTAAAAAGCTTTTCCTAGAGCTATTAGTTTTTATCTTTTTTTTCTTAAAAAAAAACTCGTTGATTAAAATGGATCCTCTCCTTTTAAAATTTTATGTCTATCATTTTTTTTTAATTAACAACAAGTATCATCTATGAGAGGCAATCATATTTGGGTCAGATTCAAGATTAAGGTTTTAAATTCTTTCAAAAGATGATACTGAGAAAGATCGAACACATATTCTCACCTCCACTTGCTCAACTCTTATATACCAATTAAGTTTTATCATTTGATTGTGTACTTTTTTTTATAATAATTAAATCTCACTTATTTAATGCATGTAAAAAATAAGATATATACAAAAATTTCAAATATAAAATTTTAAGATAGGATGATCGATTCCACTTTTTCGGCCACACTTATACACACACGTATTCACAGAGAGAAAGAGAAAGAGACCATAATCTCATGTCCTTTGCCATATCTCTCTTTTATTTGAAGTCAAACAGACAGATATAGCTACAAAACCTGTTTCTCTCTTGTCTTCAATCTTCAATTCAGCTTTATTTCTTTCTTGGTCGCGTTAATTCAATCACAAAATCCACACTTTGCACTTACCAATATCAAGCAAGGTAGGTACGAACTCTATATACTCTCTGCTTGTTCATTACCCACTTGGATACTTGACTACTCTGTACTGAATACTATAGCATTGGTTAAAATCTTGTTTCAGGCTTGTTAATTGTTTCAGCCATGCCCATTCATAAGGAAATGGACTATACTTATCTAACTAACTTACTTCAAGAGTTCACTAGTATTTCCAACATTGACAATGCATGGCTTTTTAAGTCACAAGGGAGTAAGCATCCTTTATTTTATTCCTTTTTTTTTCTTTGCTATGTGATAGTTCAATTGGGAAATAACATTTAACATGAGAAGGTGACGTGAGTTAATATTATTGGGTATGACTTATATTTCGCATTTAGATGATGACTCTAGAAGCGAATCGTTATCTGGATGCGAAGTATGAGTCATACCCAACATATATCAACTATCCAGACAATTCAATAGTTATTTTTTTCTTCTCTCTCTTCTCGTCACCGTTGATTTGTGTAAAGAACCTTGGGATACACTTGGGCCTGTTGCATAATCCACGCTTCAAGCCAAGAGGGCTCTTGCGTGAGGGGGCGTGTTGAGATATATAGTCCCATATTGGTTGAAGAGCAACTAATGTAGAGTTTATAAAACATTGGGCACTCCCACCCTTTGAGCTAGCTTTTGGGGTGGTGTATCCCAAGGTTCTTTACAATTTGTCTATGAATGGTTGGAATTATCTGAGATGACTTGACTTGGTAATGTTAATTGAGATATTAGAGGATCTAATCACATTACATTGCTATCTAACATACCCTTTTTTTGAGTGTGTGTGTGTCTATAGATCTGGGTTTGCAGGGAATGTTTTCTATTACCCAGCCAGATCTTTTAGCAAACATGAGGAGAAGATTCATCCTATCATGTAACATTTTAAAAGAAAGTGACAATTCTGTCAAGTTTCTGTGGGCTCCATTTCCAATAGAAATGTCTGGCGTGTCTATGATTGTTCCATCACCTTCTGGTTCAAAACTTTTAGTGATTCGAAATCCCGAGAATGAAGCTCCTTCTCGGTTTGAGATTTGGAGTTCATCTCAAATGGAGAAGGAGTTCCATATCCCTCAATCACTGCATGGCTCAGTATATAATGATGGATGGTAAGTTATGTATTTACATTTTTATTATTCATGTAATTTTCCTTTTACATTACAATATTCAATGTTAAACTGATACTATTTTTGTTCATTGGCATCTGGTATTAGACTATTATCGTTTGGTTTCAAATGTTGTTAGTACAGTTACATTAACACTTATGCATTATAAAGTCATTTCTTCTTTCTATGGTTTAGGTTTGAGGCTGTCTCTTGGAACATGGATGAAACATTTATAGCATATGTAGCAGAAGAGCCCTATCCGGCAAAGCCCACATTTAATGATGTGGGCTACAAGAAAGGTGATTCTACAGACAAGGATTTTGGTAGCTGGAAAGGTCAAGGGGACTGGGAGGAGGATTGGGGAGAAACATATGCTGGAAAGAGACGGCCTGCGCTTTTTGTTATCAACATCAACAGGTTTTTCATTTTTAATATTAATGTGAGATAGTATTTAGATATATTTCTCAGATATGAAATCTTAGTTTAATTAGTACTTTTACAGTGGAGAGGCAAAAGCTGTCAAAGGAATTGACAAATCTTTGAGTGTTGGCCAAGTTGTGTGGGCTCCATTTACCGAAGGCTCAGAACAGTACCTTGTTTTTGTTGGGTGGTCATCTGAGACAAGAAAGCTTGGTATGAAGTACTGCTCTAACAGGCCTTGTGCATTATATGCTGTTAGAGCACCACATCATGATTCAAAATCTAAGGAACAAGAGCTCCAGTAAGTCATTTTAGCAAGATGATCTTAACTCCCCCTTTTTTCACATATCTTATTATATATTTATTGCTAAGTTTGGTTGTTTCTGAAATGAATTATGAAAGAATGTTTTTACATGTAGCTCAACTGAAGAATTTCATACACTGAACCTTACTCAAACCATAAGCAGTGCCCTCTTTCCGCGATTCAGGTAATCTGGTGGAGTCAGATACTTGTGTTTAGAACATTTTGTCCAATATTTATATGTTTATAATTGTGCATATGTTGATTTGTTTCCATTTGTTTCATATGCTTGAGGGTGACAAACATTTTTGCACAACTTTCTAGTTTTTGTTGTGAACCTATTATGTGAGTTGTTGACAAGATAATAGAAAATGCAGCCAAAGATGAAGATGATCAGTGGCTAGATTTAGGTTATTGCTCTCCCGACTGATGTCAAGCCAGAAGCCAGTGGCAGTAACAGCCACTAAACTGTAGGGTGTGGTGGGATGAGCTTCTTTTCGAAATTATTTTCTTTTCAAGATTTTTTTTTTTTTGAATTTTTAAAGAGTTTGATACATGATAGATTATTTCTTCAAGTATTAGAAAATATGAAAAATATTTCTTGAATTACTTTGCTTTAAAGTTGAAACAAACATAGATTTCCTACTATTACTATTTTGTCAATAAGTGAAATTGTGCTGCGGAAAACTGTTTGTCGTTATTCCTTTTACCCAAGCAAGATAAATTTCCAAAGTGCTAAACCATCTTATGACTTGCGAGTTTATTTACTCACACAACACTTATTCTCATTTTGAAACTCAAATGAATGCTTTAATAAGCAGTAATTTGGTGTAATGTTAGTCATGATTCATGAATGTTTTTTCAATTTCTCTTTGTCTCAATAGTCATCACTGAATAAGGAGCTAGATACCTGCGATTGACATTGTCTAACTGGTCAGAAAATCAGGGTCACTGTACTGCCTTCATTATTGTTATTCAACTATTGGACCTTTTTGAACTTATGCTTCAACACAATGATTCTAGCTAGTTTCCCACAATGATTCTGCTTCATGAATTTCTTACCAGCCCAGATGGAAAGTTCCTTGTGTTTTTATCTGCTAGAAGTGCTGTGGATTCTGGAGTGCACAATGCTACAAATTCACTTCATAGAATTGATTGGACTGATGGAAAACTGTACCAATCTGCCAAAATTTATGATATTGTAAGCTCTTTGGAAAACTTAAACATGGGATGATAATTACAGTTTTTTTTTGTCCTATTGTCAGCTATGCTTGGGACTGGCTTAGACACTCCTGTATGTGCATACGGCCATATACTCAGTTTCTCATTTGTGAGATTGTATATTCTGGCATCAAGCAATTTTATCTGTACGCAATGTTTTAAAAGGTAGGCATTTAGTTAGCCTGATAGATGGTTAGCTCTTCAGGTTTTGCTTGTGTAGTTTGCTGTAATTTGGTTTTTGAAAAAACATGACATATCATTTGGTGCCATAAATAAGATACTAGAATAAGATTTTTTTCTCTTCTTTTGTCTTTTTCTCTTTTTGCCAAGCAATAACAGTCTTCTGAAGTACTTTAGTCTAAATATTCATTTACAATGGTGTGATCTTAACATGTTCCATTGAATGCATATTGTTTTCAGCTAATGTTTTCAATCAATTTTGAAGATTCCTGTTGTTCTGTGTGCTGAGGATGGTTGCTTCCCCGGGCTTTATTGTATGACTGTCCATAATAATCCTTGGCTTTCTGACAACTGCACAATGATCATATCATCCGTCTGGCACAGCAGTGAAGTTCTACTCTCTGTGAACGTGTTGAGGTAAGTATATAACAATAAGAATGCTTTTTTATCCATTTATCCAAGGTTTTATGTGGTTCTTTTACTTTATGATCAACTCATTTTTTCGTCATATTATAGTGGGGAATTATTGCATATCAGCCCAGCAGACTCAAATTTTTCATGGAATCTTCTTATGCTTGATGGGAACAATATTGTTGCCAGTAACAACAAATGCTCAATTTTTGAATAGTTTGGCCTTTTGAAGTGGAGAAATGGGTAATATCCTTTTTCTTTGTCCATCTGTTGGCAGTTTCCAGAAGTCCAGTCGATGTTCCTCAAATCAAGTATGGAATGTTCAATGAGAAGGCAAAGAGAAATGCTACATGGGGCTGGTCAAATATACCTAGTCCCATATTCAGATGCTCTGACAAGGTTTATTCTATTTTGTTTTTAAAATATTAATAGGAACTGTTATCATAAACAGATACTATTCTATATGTTTTCAAGTGAATTACTGGAATTTGGCTGTAGGTTAGATCTTTGCTGTCCTCTCTTCAGTGCAGTATACTGAAGATCTCAGTCAAGGATGCTTGTGATGGTCCAACAAAAGGTGTGTAAGTTATTTTTGGTTTCTTCCTCATGGATTTTTAACATTTAATGAGATTTCAGATATGTTTTAATTTGTGTGTCTGTTCATTCTCACAAACTAGTTGAGAAGGTATCTGGTTACATCTAATGAAATTGATACACCTGGACAATCACACAAGGGGTGAAATTGGTAGTTTGGATCCTGTAAGAAGGGTCCACATCAGGAAGTTAGTTAGTTAGTGGATTAGTTGTCATATGATGGGTGATATATAGGCTATCGGTAGTGAGTAGTGGGGTAGGATTCATTTTTGTATTGTAGAGGCTGAGTTAAAACTCAGAGAGACTGAGAGCAATTCTCAGAGAGGGGCTTTGCCCTTGGTAAGAACTACTTGTACTCACCATTTCATATGAATGAAGACTACTAATTTTCCCTTTCAACCTTCCATCCCATCCCCATTGAACCCATTATTGTTGAAGTATCATTCTCTGATTTCAAGATCGTATCAAGATGGTCTGACCTGCAGCATCATAAGGGATGGGCAAACTTGGAACCACTGTTAAGCCTTTAGTTTTCAGTGCTCAGTGTAAGTGGCACAAGTATAATCATTTGCAACCGTAAACATAGAAGAATTTTATGGATCATTTGTTACGTCACGATTGAAAAAACTTGACACATTAACTTGATCAAGATTGTCTTTTCATACAATTCAACCATTTATTTAATGACTTAGCACTTCTGGAACAAATCTAACACATATGTTGTATAATTCTACCCTATTCAAATTTTTGGGCAATTTAACTGGCTCTAATACCTATCTATTTTTATTTTTATTTCAGGTGCTACTAAACCTTTTGAAGCTATATTTGTGTCATCAAAAACCAAGAAAAAGGATGTATTCGATCCATTAATTGTGATCCTTCATGGAGGGCCACAGGATGTCTCTTTGTCATGCTTTTCAAAGTCTTTAGCCTTTCTATCTTCAGTTGGATACAGCTTGCTGATTGTAAATTATAGGTAAGGAACATACTCCTGAACGTTGGGGCCATTATTGTTAAACTGACGCCAAGTATGACAAATTCTTTCATATTCCTATTGACTCCAATCAAACTGTTTGATTAATAGAGATGGATGCTCTCATTCAGATATAGGTCTCTGTGCCTGAAGTTATTGATATAACTCTTATAATAATGGATTCATATATATATATATATATATATGGAAATATAAGAATCATGTTGCAGGAATGACACTGTTCATTCCTGCAACAAGGATCCGGCAACGTATCTTGAGGATACGGCGCCGTATCCTGATTTTGGTTTGACTTTTTTTTTTAAGCGTGGGACCCACACTTGATTTGTGTGTGCAGGAAAATGGTCTTGTCATGTGACATGACAAAAAGCGAACCCATATATATATGTTTGGATTTCTCAATCGGCTCATCAATTACCCGAATCCGGTTCGAGCTGGGTAGGACGCAAGGGCGGCAAAACTTTCCCTATCAAGTTTTAACACAGCTACATACCAAACCTTGAACTAGAGACTACTGATTAAGCTGGAATAACCCGTTGATCCATGTACTTGGTGGTTAGAACCTATTTATTTCAACATTAGAATCCCTCGAAAAGAAGCATGCTTAGAAAAAGAAAATAATGAGACTAATAGAGGAAATATTACTCTTTGCGAAATATATTTATAAGAGTTTAAATGAGAATGTTAGCCTATACGGAGTTTAAACACTACCCCTTGAAGTCAAATAATCCTCATACTGGAATGAGAAACAAATGTGGAAACCTGTACGCAGATGCTGCATAAGGAATTTAGAAATTGAACTCCTTTGGAATTGTGGGGGAAAGGAAGTTTAGGGTCTATTTTGATTTCATAATGGTAGAGAGGTTGAGGAGTTGAAATTAGAAGGGTGGTTAATTAATTTTTTCCATTGTGGTTTAATGAGTCTGAATATATACTTTAATTAAATTTCTTGCGCAGAAGCCTTTTAAGCTACATCTGCATCCCAATTATATGGTTTAAAAGTTTGTGATATTCAGACTACTTTTCTCAGAGGTTCATTAGGATTTGGTGAGGAAGCGTTGCAATCTCTTCCAGGGAAAGTTGGGTCTCAGGTATTTATTATTTTGTACTTCTAAATACTTAAATTTGGTCATGTTATCTGAGACGAACCTTTACTTTTTAAGCTAGTTGCAAAACGACACTGGGTTTTCTGGGTTGGATCTTGATTTTAGTTTTTCATTTGTAGGATGTCAATGATGTTCTCTCTGCCATAGATCATGTCATCAACTTGGGTCTTGCCAGTCCATCCAAGATTACGGTGATGGGTATTTCACATGGTGGCTTTTTGACAACCCACTTGATTGGCCAGGTGCAATAAGTGCACTTAGTGACCCCATTCTCACATATTTATAGTATATCTATGTCCCTTTTTTATCTCTCATCTTCTTGTAATATCAGTATTGGGGTTGAAACATACAGGATTATTGATTAACATATAAACTTTGCATTTGTTTGTCAAGCATATCTTAACTACTTCTAGTTGTTATATGCCTTGCATCTGTTGTGATTCATAACATCAGTCAGACTTTACTGCAGATATGAAAGCAATTTAGAGTTTAATTTGTTGAACAAATTACTTATTGGTGGTCCATGAAGGATTAAGAAAAACTTGTGTTGTGTTCCACAGAGTTAGATTTCATGACTAATATTGCCAAAATAGGGTGATAAAAAAAAAATACCATAATAAACTGTGATATTTAATTATTTAATTAAGCTTAACATATATACTGAAGCAATTGGTATGGTTTACAAAATAACAATGTCTACTTCAATGATAAGGGCAATTTTTCAAGTATGAGACTCTGATTTTATGAATTTGTTGCAGTGTGATGGCTTTTGATGACTATAGAATTTTGTTTTATGGTTTTATAATTGCTGCAGGCACCGGAGAAGTTTGTAGCAGCAGCTGCAATCAATCCTGTTTGTAACTTTGCACTGATGGTTGGTACAACTGATATTCCTGATTGGTGCTATGTAGAGACCTTTGGAACCATTGCCAGAAATTGCTTTACTAAAGCACCTTCAGCAGAAGATTTGACTCTCTTTTATAGCAAGTCTCCTATTTCACACGCCTCAAAGGTCTTACATTTAACTGAGCACTTTTAGATTGAATTGCACTTGTATCACAAGAGCTCTTAATGAAAGCACATTGAAAGGGAATGGAAATTAACTTGATAAGTGAAATCCATACAAAAGCCCTTTGTAAGTTGTGTTAGAAAAATATAATATAGAACCATTAATGTGGCTTTCACTTAACAGATATCAATAAATAATTAAATATTATGGAGTTTCTTAGTATAAGTAGGCGGAGCCTGATACATTGTCCACTCTTCAAGTTCAATCGGCTCTTATATGAGGGGGGTGTTAGAAAAATATAATATAAAATCATTAATGTGGTCTTCATCTATCCGCTTAAGCTTTTGGATTGTAATGGTTCTTTATAAGTTGCAATGGGAGAAGGCCTCAATATTGTATGAGCATCTCTATCCCTAACACTTCCGGCAAGCCTTCTCTTTTCAATGTCTATCCGAGGCCTAATCTTTTGAGCAAACTGCGTGGACTATACTGTTTTTTCATTTACAATTAAGCTTGAATTTCATCTCTTTTTTCACATATCCTACTGCATATAGTTGATTTCTGGCATTAAAGCTTGTATTTTGATCAATTATGCAGGTAAAAGCACCAACACTTTTCCTGTTAGGTTCTCAAGATCTTCGTGTTCCAATTTTTGATGGATTGCAAGTAAGTACTTATGAACTTAAAGAATAGCTTAGTCAGATTCTCTACCAATTAATTTTTTAATTGGTATTATATGGCGATACAACTTTTATTGTGTAATTGTCTAGTATGCTAGGGCCTTAAAGGAGAAAGGTGTAGAGGTCAAAATCATCATGTTTCAAAATGACGTTCATGCACTCAAAAGGTAGACAAGTCCTGCATGAATCCTATGCCTTCCTAGTTCCTACTGCATAGAATCATAACCTTGGTTTTTGATTTTAATGCAGTCTAATTCTATTTTTATTTTATAATTTTGCAGGCCACAGTCTGAATTTGAATGCTTCGTTAACATCGGGGTGTGGTTCAACAAGTACTGCAAATAAGTGGCCAGTTTGCCATAAAGACTTCCTGAATATTCAAGAAATGGAAAGAGGATTGACTGCAATGAGTAGATGAGCCTCTACTATATATCCATCAGAACCAAATTGAACCATTTATAATACAGCATTATGTTCATTTACAATTCACTTTAGTATTCAAATTGAACCATTTAGTATTCAACATATGTATAGTTCCATATTAAATCTTTACTGTTTTTGACTATTTATAGGATTCAATCATACACTTGGTTGAATATTGTTCTGTCCTTGAGACAGAGATGTCTAGCCCAATAGGTTAGTATGTTAATCTTGGATCTGGTGCCCTCTCCAAGGTATCTATGGATGAGATACCCTTGAGTCAAGCAGATCACTGTGCATAAAATACTATAACGGCGTTAGCCAATGGGGTGTGTGTGGGCGCACAGTGACAGCATAACAGTAAGAGAGAGAGAGAGCGTATGTACCTTTAAGGTTTACCTTTGTATTTATAGAGGTTACCTGTAGGTAGTGTGGATGGGCCTTTGGTTCCTACAGTGAGGGTCCAAGCCTGATAGCTATGCTGTCGCATTAGGATTAGTATCCTTGATGGATATCTATCTTTTATTAGCATCAATCCATATCTTGGATTGCCCCTTGTTGGGCTTGCTACTTAATGGGTCCATTATACGGGTCCATAACAGTTGTCCCCCAGCTCGGCTACCGGGGTGTCCGGGTAGTCGGGGTGAACTTACGTGTGTCTTCCAGGTTTGTGCCTCTGAATGGGTTTGCGTTTGTTGTAAATTTGCATGTTCTGCTTATGAGAGAATGTTCTTCTCGCGAGGTGTCCCTTTGCCTCCTTGTGTCGACGGGTCGAGTATCAACCCGGTGAGATATTTTGCCTACCCCACTGTTCAGGTCGAGGGCGATCTCGTTCTTTCGGGTTGCATCCTAATGTCACAAGCGTGTTGATTTTGAGTTCTTGACTTATGGTATGTGTTTCGCCATTTCCCTCTTGTTGCTTTACTGGTTGAGCATCAACCATATTGCGCGTCCGGGTTAGGAATACGCTTGAGTTGTTTTAGTCCCACTTGTTGGTTACCCTCGAGCGGCATTCCTTATCTCGGACTTTATCTGCATGTTTATTTGGTGGACGGGTCGTTCATGAACCCGTCAATACTTTCATGGAGTAACCGGGTAGATGACGCGCGATTTAACTGCTTAGTCTGCCCCCATTGTCGTCAAGTATCCGGGTTACTGGGCTATGCATGTATGACTGGTGATTTGTTGGTCGGGTTGCTGACGAACCCGTTTAAGTTTTTGTTGTGTGACCGGGTAGAAGCTGGGCTTGAATAATCGTGAGTTCACTATTATCCCAAGCATCAGGTTCGAACGCGGTGATCAACTGTTCGTACATATAAACCATTGTTTTCGTTTGTGTGCTCTCTGATCGTCGCACATCAACCTTTCTTCATCTGCATTTAGACACTTCTGTTTCATTACTTCAAGAGGAATGTCGCACATTATCTCCTCTTTATTGCTTCTACTTGAGGATTTGTATTCTGGCATTTGTTTTTTAGTATTATGAATGCAGAGTTGCATATTTTCTTCGCTGATATTCTGGTCTTTTTTCCAGAATCAATGAATAGCATGCATTTCTTAGAACTTATGTTCCCTGTTGTCGCTCTGGTGATTAGCACCATGTCCTCTTCCATGCCCTCCTTTTGTATTTGATACTTAGCCTTTTCTCCGTTTCTTGAGCGAATCAGGGAAAAACTCTTTATCTAGTTTTCTGATTTTTGAAAAACGTTTCTCCTGGTGTTTATTTATGGCTCTGGGAAATCCCTTGGATCGAAGAAGGGTAGGAAACCATGCTACGAGCTTGCCGTGGTGGTAAGTCTCGAAGCGTGTCCGGGATGTCAAGTAGTGATTTGCCGCATTCTCCTTTCCCCGACAATGGCCCATGTTACTCCTGCACTTATTAGAGCAGCAAGCTTGCTGACCGCGGTTGTGACTCTTTAGCCGAGTCCACGTTGGTGACTTGCCGGCATGGAGATAAACCTATTCGCCCATCAGGAGGAGCAGATGATCCTATCAAAATTTCTGATTTGTCATCATCATCATCGTCTAGTGATTCCTCTGATAACGTTTGTGATTCAGGTATTTTGATTCTTTCCTGATTCCTACCTTTCCTTGTTTCTAGGTATTATGGCATCTCCTCCATCAGATGTAGTAGGAGAGTCTAGTTCTACTGAGTCGTGTTCTCCATCTCCTTCATCTTCTTTAATAACCCAATTTCCTTGGGTAACGCATGAAGTTTTAAGTACTGTATCAGAGATGGCTTTGGATGACGTTGTCGCCCTCTCCGTGGGGGATTTAGCGAATTGTGATATAACCCCCCTAGAAGAGACGAGCCCGTCTGTTTCAGTGGGAGGCCAAAAGAGCCGCATTTCTTTTTCTTTTTCCGAGATGTTGTGACTCAACTCGGTGTCCGTTTTCCTTTTACGGATTTTCAAATTGATCTTCTGAACCACCTTCAAATAGCTCCCACCCAGCTTCATCCCAATGGATGGGGCTTTGTCAAAGCCTTTGAGCGTTTCTGCTCATATCTTTCTATTCTAGCTTCTATCTGTGTATTCTTCTTCTTTTTTCAAGTATTAACTCCTCGGACCAGTCGTGAACCCTCCAGCCGAAAAGGGTGGGTTACCCTTCGAGGTTTACCCCACCGTAAACTTTTTCAAGTTTATACTGAGTCCTTTAAGAATTTCAAGGACAAATTCTTTAAAGTTTCTGCCCATCCCGGCAAGAGTGTCTGGTTTGTTGACACTTCTCATGCCGAGTGTGGTGAGGGAAAATTCCCTTTGCATTGGTCTTCTGACCACTATCAGCTTCCCCCATCCAGCTACCGTTTTCAAGTTACCGATTTGGGTTCATCTGATATCGACAGTGCCATTGCCATTGGCATGTTTCTGCTGTCACATAAGCATGCTAGTGTCGCATCCCTTCTATTCAAGTCCAAAGATGAACTCGACGTTGAATTAAGTATGAACTATTTCTAGCAACCTGGCATTTGCATATTAGCCGTATTGCTTTAACATTAACTTGTTGTGTTTGTATTTCTAGTACCTTTGATGGATAACAACCAAAATGATCCTCCAAGCTGGTTGGTGGCATTAAACCAGGCCAAGGCTGGGTCCGGCAAGAAGAGGAAAGTCCCTGACTCCTCTCAAGGTGGTCCGGGTAAAGCCAAGGTTTCAGCTGCCGATTATCCCACTGCAGCCACTTCAAAAGAAAAAGCCAAGAGCTCTGACATCCGAGCTTCCACTGGCCCCAGTCAAACTATGAAAGTCCCTCCTCCTCCTGCGCCTGAATTCACCAAGCACATGGTATGGCAGGGAAAAACCAACAATACTCTCCGGGATGCGGTGTGTGCCCCCGAAGTCTTCTACAACTCATCTCTTCTTACCCCTGCCCAAGTAAGGGAGGTGGAAGATTTGGAGTTGTGCTGTTTGAAGATGGCCGGGTTGGCCAGGCCATTGTTTATTCTGAAGCAGAAATACCTGCGGACGTTAAGCGAGGCTTCTACATCTCGGGAGGAGAGAGCCAAGACATACACGGAGCTGCTAAAAGTGAAGGAGGATTTTTCTGCTCTAAAAAAGGATCATGATGATACTATCACCAAACTGACCCAGGTTACCGCCGACCATGCAAAGTGCCGAGATGAAAAGGCGGTTGAGATTGAAAAAATGCATGGCTTTCGGAGAAGTTATGAAAGATTGGAGGATAAGGTGAAGGAAGCTGAGCGTATCGCTCAGCTTTGCCAGAGTGAACTGGAGAAATCAATCACTGGGTCCTTCTACAATGCCTTGAATCAACTCCAAATACTTAATCCTAAAGTCCCCTTAAATCTGGTCGGTTTGAATGCTCGCGCCTATGTTAATAATGGCCAAATCATCACTCTTGCTGCCGACTCTCCTTCCCACGTGTCCAACGTCCAAACCGAGAAAGGTGTTGTCGTCGAGGATGGCGAGGAGGCAGTTGACAAGCCGGAGAAGGAAGTTGATGTGGTTAATCAATCCGGCAAGGAGGTCCCAACTTCCGGGGATCCTCCTACCATAATGATTTCATGAAGGGCCGGAATGCCGGTTGAATTCTGTAATTTGTTGAGGTCCTTTGGGCCCATTTTTGTTTCCACTTGAATATTGCCGGTTTTACTTTGCTTTTGATATATTTGAATCTTTTTCGATATCCGCTTCACTATATATGTTTGCCTTTCTTTATTCCAAATTTTACCATAGATGCATTTATCTAGGCATCGAATTGTCGGAATTCGGCATGTCGTTGTAGTATTGCTTTTGCTTTTTGGATGAGCCAACTCCTTTTTGCTTTTCCGAAGTGTATGACTTAACCATTTTTGGCATATGCATAAGCCCCTTTACGAGGTTGTAGTTGTCGGGTTTCGTAACTCGGATAACATTCTTTTTCATACCCAGATTTGCCCTAAGCTTTAGGAATTCCTAAGTTGCTCAGATTCAAATCCGATTTATTTAGATATATTTCACCCTCGCACCTGATGAGTGATATACCGAGTTTGCATTATTTTTCAATACTTATTGGGTGAAATCTTCATCCCAATTTATTTTTATGAACCCGTGCATCATACGAGTTTTTAATTCATGACCTGGTCGAGGTCAAAGCATTAGACGGATTTCGCTTTATGTCAATTCGATGACGCATGTTTGTTTAACTTACTCATTCTGGTAAGCTTGCATATGTAATGGACCTTGTCTTTTGACTTAGCCATTTAATTGAATTTGAATTTCATAACTCAATTTATCTAAGGTAAAAACAATAATGTCATTTGCCCCTTTTTGGTATCATGACCAAAATAGGGACATTTTGACTTGATCAGAGTCACTATGAAAAATTGTATTTGTACTTCGGATTTGATATTAATATATCAAAGATAAACAAGGATAAATCTCTTAAAAAGAAAAATTCCTCATTTATTGATATCAAATTGCGAATTACATGAATTTGCCGGCATATTCGGCTTTAGTCAAATCCCTAGTAGAGGAAAGAACTTAAATCAAAATGTAATTTTGAAATATTGAAGCGGAGGAGTGCAGATTTAGCTGTAGTATGTCTTCAGCTTATCTGCATTCCAGGTGCGCTTAACTTCTTTGCCTTCGACTGTCTCTAAGATGTAAGCTCTTTTTCCGAGTTTTTCTCTAACTCGGTAAGGTCATTCCCAATTTGCAGCTAGCTTTCCATCTCTGGCATTCTTGTTGCCAATATCTGCT